CGACACTTATTGCAACTCCCCCGTGGATCTTTCCAAGTTCGTCTCGAAATATGAGCAGACGCTCAGATTTCGTGGCTTTGCAATAAACCAGTAGAATTCTTTTAGTCGTTCATAATTACAAGTTAGCAGCCGTGAAGCTGCTGCCTCTTGGGAACACAACACCCCCTACATTCCGGCAGTTGACTGCAGAGGATTGTCGATCACCAGGGCCTGGCTAATTGTTGTGTGACGGACCTCAAGATACTATCTAAGCTTGAGCGCACTGGGATTCCGAATTCCGGGGGCCGGATCGCCGCCCAAGTCCCTAAGCCCGGGCAAGTCGCTGCGGAGGTCGCTGGTTGTGGAAGTGTGTGCAAGAGCTGGGCCGAATCGTGGTTGCTCCTCGTAGAACTGGAACACTGCCAGATCCTGTCGATTCGATTCTGTGACCTGACTCGATTACCAGGTAGCTGTAGTAGCTGCGAGGACGAGTTGATTTACTTTAAACTCGGGTGGATAGGTCCTGGCATCGGCGTTGGATCGGTTCATGCTGCGGTCGATAAACCCAACCGACCGGAACTTGGTGGGAGTTCTGCGAAAGCCACAATCCGACCTATGCTCAAACACATCCCGGTTCAGCTCCCGTCCGTACCTGGGTGCCGCTTGGATGGGGTCTCCACCTCGACGACCCGTCATCGCTCATGGGACTCTTGCTTGGCGGCCTCCACTTGGAGGAGCCACCATCGCCCATCGGGGTCCTGGCGGGAGGTCGCCATTTGGTCCATCGCCCCTGATCGCCATTGTATGCGCTTCGTGACGTTTCTTCACACATCTGGAGAAGCCTGAATGGACAAACTCCGACAACGGTTCTTGAATCTTGCAGAGAGGGGCTGGTATGTGATGGCTGTGATGAAGTTCGTGACTACGTCGAATGTCTGTCTCGGTTGCTGTGAGTTGAGATGAGATTGGAGGCGGAGATGGAATGATTTGTTACATACCCAACCTCGGAGACCTTGTTTATAAGGTTTTGATGCACTCGCCTTCATTAGATCCAGGCTCCAAGTCGCTGGGGGAAACACGGTCGGGTTCGTGTTACGCGGAGTACATAGCTCCTGCGTCAAAGCCCACACCCCTTAGCCGACAGTCTTCCACCCACTGAAGCGGAGCTCAAGAGTTGGGATTCCGGGGCTGGAGGGACCGAGGGGTTGAATATTCTCGATGCACAGAAACACGAGATCAGGCGTCATCCTAGACGATCAGAGACCACAAGCGCAGTCTCCAGCACGAGCCGGTCGCCGCCTTCTTGGTCCGTATTTAAATAGCTAGATCCATTTCTTCTACACCTTGAACGAAACCTGATTAGTAAACAGGTTGAGAGAGAAGATGGTGGAACGACGTTGTAGTAACCAGTTCCGGTAAAGAGTCAGTCCGACAGCCGCCGGGATGATTGTCAACGTTCTGGTATTCCGTTGTGATGACACATGATGCTGTTGTGGCTGCGATGCAGCTGCCGGGGAAGCAGTCCGACACTTTCTGAGCAGCTTTCAAATGCTTCTGAGATTGAGTTTGCGTAGTTTAGGTCGAGGTATGAGTTGACGTTTTCCTTTCGATCATAACGTCTAACTTACTGCAGGTCCGAGTTCACTCCGTAAGTCAAAAGAACCTCACGAACGTCTGCTGTGACTTCGATTATATATAATAGTTTATCCCAGTTTTGAATACCAACATAATGAATGAACACGAATTCCAAGGGACCTATTTTTGTTGTGGGACCGATTTTGTTTCTTTACTGCAGGCTATTCTGAAAGAATCTGGGTCAAAAACCGGATGTGTTCCCAACCAAGTTCTGTGTCGAAATTCCGGAGTAACTTTGTTGTCAACTGTTGTTGACTCTTGGTGGCACTTTCGCAGGTCTAGCTCAGGCCTGCTTTGTGTCGTCCAAGCTCGGAATGGAGGGAGCGCCTGTCCCATCATGTCATCTGGGCAGTGTCGCCTAACCACCTTCACTACGCGAATCCTTATGTGTTACGCTGCGTAAATTGGATGGGAGTGAAATGGGTGAAATACTTAGAGAATGAAAGCAGGGAAGATTGTGGCTCCGAATCTCTGCAGCAACGGCATGATTCCTTACTTGCACATCAAGAATGCGGCGGCAGGGGGCAGGTTTGTCTTTGTTAGTGTGTGTATGGTGTGGGTGGGCACGTGGGTGATGAATTGGGGTATATAAGTAAAGGAATATGCATCTTGGAAGAATGAGGAATAAGCGTGGTGCCGAAAAACTCGGAGTATGCTTTTGTGGTGCATGTTTCAATTAGTCGAAAGTGGGGTTTGTTGGTCTTGGTACGGGTCATCTTTCTACTAGGGTACTACTTGCAGAATGAAGGTTTATGCACCATGGTTTGAGCTACAGTATGCAGAACTTTGTTCACATTGCGTGTCCATACCTCTGGATATGACAGTCTCCAGGGCGATCGACGAGTTCAACGCAGGATGTTCACATGGCGAGCTAGTTTGAAGCTGTGAAATGAGAGGACTGGATCTTGGAGGCGAAGGTGGCAACTTCAGGCACCAGATGCTGATGCCACTAATACCTATTCAAACGCAAATTTCAGCTTTGATGATGGTTATTACTTTTCTTCTCTACTTTTGAAGGTTAACTACTACTTGTGCTGAAATGCCTCCTCTGGACAACAAAGTCTTTCCAATGGCTACCAAGATACTTGAGCTTGTTAAAATGTAAAGGATCAACAAACTCCCAGAAGTCGTCCCATTCTAACACACCGTGAAGTCTCCAATTTTACATAATGTAGTTCGAGGCTCCTACAAGCCTATCACGTTCTGAAATGGCAGTTCCTATCTCTAAGGTCATTTTGACAAAAGTAATTTTACAGACAGTGTTGAAATCCCTGTATTCATTCAAAAGCATAATATCTAATGCACTAGCTAAGCACTCACCATAGAGTACTATAATTCTAACATCTCACCCTAGAGAGTTCGAAGAGTTCAATCAGCACACCAAGCGCTCTGATATCATATAGTTTATATGATTAACTAAATAGGAAGAAAAATGGGTTTTCTAAAGTACACAAATGATGAACAAATGAATGGTCCAAAGATAAGACGAGTGGGTTACTATTAAACAAACTTAATTTATCTCATCTGTAGCTATGAGTGGCTAAGTTTTATAGTTGAGAAGCTGTTATTGAGAAGGTGTACAATGAAGTGTGGACTCAATGTCATCAAACCCAAAGCCCTATATTGACCCGAGTAGATGTTGAAATGCTATACAAGATGCTTTGAGAACCTTAGAACCTCATCAATCAGACCAAAAAAACTCGCATTAACTTGATACCCATTAAAAATAATTTCTTTTAGTACTATTGAACCAAATAGTTTTATGCGCAGCAGACCAACAAGTGTAAAAAAGAAAAACAATATTAGATTAGAATACAATACCTTGACATTCAAAAGTAATTGTAAGTAAATATGTAATAACAAAATTCAAGACAAAAATAAAGATAATCTTAAGTTAGTTTTTATATATACAAATTGTAAATTTTGATGCTATTAATGAGTATTTTTTGTTAGTACACATCTATTATCTCAATCTTTTACAAATTTTCAAGTTTATAATTAATTTTTTCCATTAGGTAGTATGATATATATATATAATCACTCAAGTGTTATGTGATTTTTTAATTTTTAAAGTTAAGTAATAAAAAATTGAGCAGATATTAAATATGAAATGTTTTTTATCTAAATTTGGAATTTCTTAGTATAACATAAAACAAAACTTTAAATATATTCTATCATTGGTATATCAAACAAATGCATCATAAGTCTTCTTTTAGAACGTAATAACATTAGGTTCTTTGAAGATATTCTAAACATTCTTAGTATAATAAGAAGCACAAAGAAGAATAACTCAGTTTTGCTAATACAAGTATTGGTATATTTTAATATTTACCTTTCTAATTTTATAAAATAATCTTATTACTAATGAAAAATAGCTTAATTTCTTCTAAATTTTAATCTATCGTGCTTTGTTTTGGGATGTTTGTATATATATGCTTTTATTCAAGAAATTACAATTTTTCTTGAAGGATGTTATTATAATACTATAATACTATAATAAGTTTGGAGCAATTTAGGTGTATACATATATAGAACTTCTAATCAACTGGTTATCTGTAACAGTACAGTAGATTTTTAGAGGGATTCAGCACTTTGGATTTTCATGATGTTAACTGAATTGCAAAGGAGATTTCCATGGTTTCATCTGGAAAACTAATAACCATGGCAACGAAGATATATTTATGGGGGGAGTTCCAGTTAAATATTTGCTTCTCTGTCGTCTTTTTGCGTCTAATATTCATGCGAAAATTTAATTTATTTTGGTAGGGGGAGTTATCCACAGCACCTGCAACACTTCTCATCCTTCTTTCTACACATTTCTGATGATCAACTCCACTATTGTGGTAGACACTCATTTAAACGGTTGAGCAAGACAGTCCAGTTGCAACCAGACTGAACCTGCCAACGGCCTTTGCAAGTTCTTCGACTCATTGCCCTCAAAGGTCTTCCATCAACTTAACAGGATTTGAGTATACAGCTATGTGCTTCAGTGTCTTACAGTGCTTTTATCTTCGCGATTAGTGTACCAAATCATGTGGTTTATTCTTCAATCGATGGAATCACCATATAAAACTATTCATGGCTCAAAGTCCAAATCTGGAGAAGCCCTCAGTCATATGCTGAGGGCGGATGGCAACGCAAGGCAAAGGGAATGAATTTTCTTACTGTACTTTGTGATAGATGTGTTACTAAACAGTGGTGTGAATGTGCACCTATACATTCTGTTATTATGTATCTTGCTGCCATGATCGGAATTAAATTTTAGATAACTGCCTGTGTACAAAATACATGTGCCAAAGTCTTCCCACCTCCCAAGTACAAGAGCCTAGCTTAAGATACCTGTAGAGATTACCTTTCGCTATGTCCACATTGCTGTACTAGTCATGAAACGAGTCACAAAGAAGTGTATTGGGAGAGCAAAGATGTGCATAACAGTGCACACTGCAGATCTCTTCGAGACCATTGCGAAGCCGTCTGTCTAAGGACAACCAAACCATTTCTATTCCAACATGCCAGCAAGTACCACAGGTTCAGCACCAACCTGCTCGGATGAAAGTGAGATGAGACCTACCTATCCTCATCTTGCCGACAAAATGCTCACAGCATCACTAACACCAGAGTCCTAAATCCTCTCTAGTGGCTAGTTCAAACAGGAGAGCCTCTAAGTGCCCCGAATGCCTAACTACATTGACAGTCGTACCCTGAAAAGAGATAAGTACATTCATGTAAAACATAAGAAATCGTTCACCCGTACAAGCCCTCTCGCTCCCACACATCGACCAAAAAGTCCACCATTTCCTGATAAAAGCAAACAGTTATTTTCAAAGTGTCCATATCGTGTCTGCAATCTGGTCACATACCCATAAAAGAAAAAGACAAAAAAGAGGGACGAGTATACGATTTCAGACGTACGGATAAAGGCACAGGCTTCACAAAAGGACGGCTTGTGCCAAGTAGCTCCTCATAGGTTGCGTTCCATCTGCAACCCCAGACATAACCGCATTCACTTTACAAATGAAACCATACAAACAGTTTAAGATCTCTGATCTTATTTAATTACACATCAACAAACAGGAAAGGTTGATTACTTCAAAATCGAAACCTGAAAGATGTTGGTTGTCAATCCAACATAAAACGACGGATATTATCCAAAAAAACCCAGGTATTTTTCACTTACGATTCTACGTGCAGCGCCACACCATAACTGCACTGGCCGGGAATTATATTTGCACTTCACTAAAGATTGATATTTACTAGTGATGTTGATTATACGTTGAAAGGTGCATTAAGAAGGAACAGATTCGCGATCTGCTCTGAGGTAGGCTCATGATACACCCCGTATCTGTGCTCATCCTAATCAAAAACAACACATCACATTATACTTACTGTCTGCTGCTGATCCAGCCTCAGCGATGTCATACCTGATGACAGGTTCCCGCAATTTCCGTGGTTGGGACTTCTGGCTGCCAACCCACTCCTTTCGTTGTTTTTGCCAATGAGTCAATGCTGTCGTGACCCACCCATCAAGAAGCATTAAAACGGACCCTTCCATGTAGCGATAGACTCCGTTGCACATACCGCAAGACAGGTTTGGCACGTCAAGGAATCGTATATTTTTGTTTTCATACGGGTTCTGCAACATCAAACTACTGCATTCATAAGATAAAATAGAAAATTCTAATTTTGTATGAAAGAGACTGGGGCAAAAATCTGTGCGTACCATGGTTCTCAAAAGATGATTTGCTGCTATTGCTACTAGCTGACCCAGATGCATGACTCTTGTTTAAAGCTCTAGAATAATGCCTTAATGCTTGAGAATCAAGAGCACCACCATTATCGCCCATGCCGTGGGAACTAGACATCCACCAGTCCTCAGAAGAGAAAGCAGATTGGGCCCGAACCTGCCGGTTGGAATTCTTCTTATATGCTCTATTTACCTTTTCTGGTAAGGCGGCAGGAGGAGGCCGCACATATCCTCCAAGACACCCACTGCACTACAGTTGCAAACAGACTCTTATCGGTGAACAATCACAAGTCGGAAATGAAGAAAGCAATCCTTTATACACAACATTCACATGATCTTCCAACTAAACATCGTGAGCTAACTTGACCTTCAGCACAATGGACTTATATGTCCAATTGGGATTGGGGAAACACCGTACCCCATACATGCGCTTGCGTTTCTTCTCTGTTGGTGAGGGGCAAAAATCCAGTATCTACGTAGAATTTGCATGAAATAGGAAGCTCTAATCAGCACTTAAAACTCCCACACGAACAATTCAATCAACCTCAAATCTTCAAGTTGCCTCCACCAACTGCAATCCACCTTTTGAGAACAAATCACTAACTTAAGTGAAAAAAAGATAAGAGCGTATGATCATCACAAGACCGTTTCAAATCGAAATAAACGACGGGAATAGCACACACAGACTGTTTAGGTCAAAAAGAGGCTGACATACAAATGCTGAGAGTTTTCCGAAGCTGTAGATACGGATTAATCTTACGTGAACGGCCACGGTGACACAAGTTTCTCACAAGAAAAACCAGCTAGGTAAGGATTTAAGATATTCTCAATAAACTGGTATGCTAGACCATCCTATCCTGGATAACAAAATTTCAAAACCACACGCCGGGTTGTATACTCTCAGAAGTTAAATTCACCAGCTGTAACTAAAAATGCAGCTGCCCAAACAAAAATTGACCCACGAAACACAACTAGATCGCTCCTGCATAAAAATACTAATACTAGATTAACAAATAGCTCTCCTCTCAAACATGCCGGCTCTCACAACTATACCACTTGCAAACCAATACACCATTTCCTCAAATACACGCACTATCTAACACTCGCTACCGAATGATGCAAAACAAACCGAAGACAGCAGTTCAAAAACGTCTCACTACACAGACGCTGCGTCAATCAGGCGATAACCCACCACTAACCTAGACTATAGTCTGCGGTTTCTTCTCAACAGAAGAACAGGGTGCTTCGATTCAAACTTGGTACATATCTCTGATCTGTGAGTTGTGAGTGTGAAGGGAGTGACCGAAGAAATTTACGCTAGGGTCCTTAAATACCAGGAGGAAACCTCACATAGGGATGGGCAGAGTGAAGACTCGGTGGAGGCGCCGTGAATAGCACGAGAGTGTTCCTCGCGAGTCAGCAAAGCCCTGCGCGATGAGATGAGCTTTGTTAAGAAGTCCCAGTTTCGAAACGAGGCTAGTGTTGGAATGATCGCTACTGTGATAAGTTGCCCATAAAGTTAATGGATATGGGATGAGTCATCAATCTGTCCAAAGTTCCTCATCTGTTAAAATATCGTTTCTCAAAGTGTCTTGTGTACAGGTGGAGATAGCCAGGACAGTTGGGGAACAGAATCTTAGAGAATCTGCAGTAAAACCTAGAAGAACCTTACCACGCAGTACTCGATTCGTACGATTGTTGTCTGTCAAATATTAGGTTCTATTTAGGACGATGGAGGGTTTACGATTTAGTTTTTTGCGTGGTCTCATTCGTTCAACTTACGGATACCAATACTTTTAGGTACAGAAAATAAAAGAATCGCAAAATGAATTGTTTTCACTGTCTCTTTGAAGGTGAATCCAACTTGGAGGCATTCAAAGATAGGTTAGTAGAGCACCCTCGAGGCCGACCTGAAAAAAATTAATTCACGAGTCTCATTAACATAAGTGTACCAAAAGTGGATTGGATCGGAGACTCAAATTCCTTCTCAATTCTTCATTGCCACAATCGCGCGTTTGCCAAGGCCTCAGCTCTCTTACATCATGGGTAAGGAAATTTTCCTAGCTTCTGTTTCTCTAGTGAAATTCTGTATGCAATTCCGCTTCCTCTACTAAGATAGAGTTTTGAAGCTTAAAGAGTACAACGTTTCTTTTCAGTTTTAGGGGCTAATAGAGACATTCAGGTGCTGCGGAGGAAGAACCAGTCATCGGATTTGTCTTCATATTAATAAATACGTTGGAATAGTCATATTTTACAATCTTGCTAAGCTTGTTTTAAGTTTCGAATTTCGAAGGACATCTGAATTCTTTTGATGCCCCGAGGATGTCTATCTTATTTTCAAGAACATATGAATGAGGGTTTTTTAAGATAGTATTCGCCACTCTTTACAATTGCCACGCTTCTTACAGTTGTAACCTCATGTAGTCTACGTGTGCGTGTCCGCCGTGGAGGCAGGAAGAAACCAGTTCCTAGCTCAGGGTTTTGTGAAAGGGAAGCCCAAGAACCAGACTCTCACGCCGCTCAAATTCCAGCATGATCTGAGGTCTGTTGCTAAGGAGCGTGCAGGACGTAAGCTCGGAGGTCATAACTCAGACTGAATCAACCATGTTTTTTCACTAACACAATTTGATGTCAACTTGGTTTCATTGCACAAGTGAGAGTGGTTCTAGTGAAGTTTTGTAACTTGGCAGTATGCCGAATGCAGATATGTGTTTAAATTTATCATTTGCTGCATCATGTGATTTGATTCAAGCTGCATAGTTCACGAATAATCATGGATTGGTTGTTAGCAAAATCTTTTATTCGATGTATGTTTCAAGCAAAGGTGGTACTTTAAGACTAATATCACCAGACTCCGTCTTTTGTGCGGGATTCCACTCACAAGTACTTCGAGTTGGACCCACAACACACTGATTCGGAAGAACCCTCGGAACAACTGGATCGTGAACCTTGTCCTCAAGCCCCGAAAACATAAGAATTATGGCTTATGGGTTATTTTCTTATGTTGGTCATCATCAATTTATGAAGATATTGATCTATCACAATATTGCTTCAGTAATCCTATATTTCTTTCCTTTCTCATTCATTCAATGTGTTGGATATGGTATCACCTACCACGTTCTCAAGTCTTGGTAATTTTACTAGTTGAGGAATAGGAAATCGGTAAACAATTGAACCACCGTTTAAACAGTATTTTGTTTAAAACTTTAGTTTTCTTGTGATAGTGTGAGCTCTTTGAATTTTTATTTAAAGAATTGGATGTTAAACTATTTATTTTTTCAATCATTAATTGGTTGAGGATTTTTTTTTAAATTGAATAAACTATCCTTTGAGAAAAAAAATATTTGATATTGTAGGTTGTAGATTACCTTCCCTTAATTTGACTTATAGATTTGTTTAAGTTATTTGTTATAGAGATGGAAGAAAAAATTATGGATGCTATATTTGGCAGAAGCAATAACAAATTTGTAATTATTGCAAATCTTTACAAATTTATCAACATTATTAGGATAGAAATTTCGTGTATTACCAACATAAATTATGGAGGTATTATTTACATATCTATGGAAAGAATCAATAATAAAGTGCAATATCTATATTAAGAAGTAGTGCAATTGAAAGAAATAAGTAGATCAACCTCATTATTCAATCGAAGAAGTCTTGGTATTATAAATATAAAGAATCTAAAGATTAATATATTAGAGAATTTTGATAGAAGAAGATCAAAATTTTGAAGATTCATATAATAAGACAAGTTTTATTTAAGGTTTTATCCTTTCCAATATTTTAATAAATTTATTCAAGTTGGATTTATAGGCATAGTCCTATCTTTTAGTTTGCGCTTTTGATAGAAAAAGATTATAATTCTTATGTAATCTACATTTATTTTTGGAAGTATTTTTGGCCACATTTAGAGAAAGTGATTGAAAAAAGATAATAGAGACTAAATTCTTATTTTTACAATAAGGATCTCGTTTAGCTTCCATATATACTATTGAATTCCAAAACTTTGTATGTAATGTGGATTAAAATGACAAAGTCCTTAGTAATCAATTTGATATATATAAAAAGATAATATCAAAGATTTATTATTGACAATGCCATTAACAAACTCATTTATGCAAATTATTGTTCAAATGATTGCATGCAATAATTTATATTCTAAAAGATAACAAGAACAAAGATTTGATTGAAGAAGAATAAGTTAAGACTTGATGACAAATCCTAAGTTTTCAAAAACATGCTCATCAAGGTTGGAATCTATGCAAATTAATATGATATGTTTTAAACCTCTCATTGAGCAAGAAAAGACTTAACATTGTTAAGAAGAATTGTGTTTATATTGTATAAAACTTAAGTATATTTTTCAACATTGTCTAAAGAAGAAACACAACCAAAAATTAAAGAACGTGGTTACCACGTTGCATTGAACGAAGATGCATTGAAAAAGGAATTTATCCAACTTTAATAGGGACCATGTGGTTAGAATCTTATACAATATTTACTAAAAGTCATATTCTCTCTTTTGATTTCTTACTTGGTTTTATAATAGATGTTTGTTTAGAACCAAAAAATTACAATGCTTCCACCTTATTAAATTTAAAAGCTTCAATTTGTTTTATAAATAAAAAAATTCTTAAAAATAAAAAAATTCTTAAAAATAAAAAAATATTTTTAGTCAAGAAAACTAAGTTTGTACATATATATGTCATACATGGTTATTTTTGCCTTAAAGAGATGGTATCAATAAAATGTTTCTTTTAGATGTAGCAATTAATGTTCATAATATGCCATTCAAAATTTCCAACATGATGAGAATTTGGTCAAGAACTTCATATGCCATTCAAAATTTCCAACATGAACTCTTATCTTATTTGTGAAGAAAAAAGATGCATCATTGTAGATAAGTGGGAATTATTGAAAGTTCAACAAGAACATCATCAAGAATAGATATCTTCTACTTTTGTTATTGGGACTTTTTAATAAATTGAATCAAGCAAAGATCTTTACAAAAATAAATCTACAATAAATATACAATTATTTTTAGTTTTAAGTGGTTTTTATATGAAACTATTAAAATAGAATTAAAAAAATAAAAAATAAATAAAAAATAAATTTAATATTAATAAAAATTACATAATCTATATTTAAAATAATATTATTAAATTTTAATAAATAAACTTATAGATATAATTTTTAATATTTATATAATTAAATTATATATAAAACTTAAAATAAATATTTTAATTTTTTAATTTTAATATAAAATAATAATTTAATTTTAATTATTTGTTTTAACATGTTGTATCTAAAAAATCCTAGAAATATACAAAATTATTTAATTTTATATCAAAAAATAGATAAAAATATTTTTAAAAATAAAAATTATAAATTGAAAAGAAAAAAATCAAAAAATAATAAAAATACTTTTTGAGTGTTTTTAACTTAAACATGGTAATAATTATTTATAAAAATAAATAAATATGTATATATATATATATATATATATATATTTATCACAATAATGATGCATATATATCTAAACATTATATTATAAAATAAAAATTTATGTCTAATCGTTTTTTTACTATAAAAAATATATTTTCAACAAATAATTACATCCATTATAAAATATATTTTTTATTTCTTGGATTAAAAATAATTTAGTATGTCTATGATTTTATTTCTTATCTATATATTTATAGAATTCTAAAAGAATATTTGCTAAATTTAATCTAGAGTTGTTACTTAAAATTAAAATAAAATAAAATTTATAAATTAGTTTTTTACTTTTAATTTATCAATTATGTATCTTGTAGAATAAAAATTTTGTGCAATACAATTAGTACAAAATAAGCTTTATTTTATTTTTATGTGATTTTTTGCATTATTATTTATCAAAATTAATTTTACCCAAAATTTTAGTTTTTAATGAATTTAAAGAATATGTCTTGTTATATGCTCAATATAAACCATTATATTCAAATTCTCTTCTTTTAGATGAGGTGATTTTAATTCTCTCTCATTCCAACATGTTTCAATACATACAAGCAAGCAGAATTAGGTTTTTAATTTTAAAGGTAGTTTTAAATTAATGTTTCAACTTAATATCATTGAAGCAAAACAATAATACTTTTAAGTAATTCTTAAATTGGACTTAATAAACATACTTTGTATCCACAACTATTTTAAGTGGCACCATTGATACATTATCATTGACCATATTGCTTGATCTTAGAGATAACAAAAGTAATGGTTTATGCAGCCATAATCGATGTTAAGATGTTCTTGGTTAGGTTTACACCATTCATTATATAGTTGTTTTATATGACATGCAATAATACAAGTCTTCCTATTATAACTGACATGTATAAAAAATAATCTTAATTAATAAAATAGTAATATAATAGGGAGTGATTAAGTTCATAGATAACGATTGTATCTATATAAGTATCTATGTATATAGAATACTTAATCTGGCCATTTTCAATAAAAATCGTGTAGAATAGTCAAATTTGGTTTAAATTATTACTTTCTTGAGCAGTTGTAATTACTAAAAAAATATTCACAGTATTTTTTCTATTTATATATTTAGCAAAATAAAAATCATCAATTTAGAATTTTTTGGCTTTGCAATCAAAATATAGGCTACAATAAGAAATTATACAAATACATGTATAGATTTTCCCAACTTGTTGCAAATGTTTGTAGAATCCATTAATGTTTAGTATGGAAAAATGATAGGAACTTTTCATTTGAATTACTTTGCACTAATGTTTCATTTAAAAGAAACTTTTGAACAAGGACATTGATTTACTTGTACAATGTTACAATAGAATTATCACATGGTGAGGCAAAAATATTGACCAGAACTAGTGGAAGTGTACATCAAAATTCTTCTACGTCTACCCTTTAATGTAACATTGCTCATTAAGGAAATTGCATTGATTTCAGCTACATTGGAACTATTTGAAAAATTCAAGGGTATCAATTGGGCCACTATTTATGCTTGCCACAGCATCCTCTGCATCTTGCTAAGCCTAATCGAATGGGCTGATGTTTATACCCGGGCTGATAGCCTCCAACCCAGGCACACGGTGGGCACTACGTTCATTTTCACTTCTCCCGCCACTGAATTGCTGGTCCCATTTTGCTTCGAACAGTTTCTCGCTTCGGCTATGGCGGGTCAAGGGCCTTCAGAGCCCGCTCTGTTCACGGAGCTAGAGGCAAGTGTTTCCATGGCTTGATCGGTGCCGTCGGTCTGATTTTTGGCGTGTTTTTCTTTAGGGTCAGTGAATTTCTTGTCTGGAGGTAGTTGCGAACTTGTGTGTAGAAGTTTCAGCCTCTGGTTGTGTGGTTTACGAGTTGGATCTGTCGAGGAGGTCATTTTCAATTTTGGTTGGAGATTTGGCGTAGCGAATGATATAATGGATTGCGTGTTTGTGTCTTTGTAAGTTAAATTTCGGTTTGATTGGAGTGAGACGGAGAGGACAATGCATTGGTAGAAAATATAAGTTCAATGTTGTTTTCAAGAAAGGGTACGCGTCAAAAATGACAGTATCATGTATATTTGAGTAACTACTCTATAAAATGTGTTTTTTTTTTTTTTTTTTTTTTTTTTTGAGCTTCCCGGAATCAGGAATTGGGACTTGATATTGGTGTTTTTATTGCGTGTATATGTGAATCGTACAGAATGCTAGATTCAACACTTGGCGTGCATCTGACATGATTCGATAGCCTACATTTTTTCAGTCTTGTATTCTGACTTGCAGGTGGAGTTTATGGCTGAGGATGAGCCAGTAAATATTATTCCCAATGTTCGCATGGATACGCTTCACATGATTTGTGTAGGTTTCATTCTCACGTAATCTGGACCTTTTCAAAGATTCCTTCGTTGTAGCCATAGCCCCTCTAGGATTGTTTAAAGCTACTGATAGTAAGGGAGGCCATAGTTTTGGTATGTAGGGATTTTGGTATAGTTCTGTTGACGACACATCCATTTAATAGTTCATTTAACGTGGTATTGAAAATCACAGGGAGACTATGGACCTTTCAGACCTCAAATACCTATCACAGTGCCACTTTGGCTTGGTATAGCAATGAAGAAAAGAAGCAAATGTCGGATCCAACCACCAGGTTGGATGTCGGTCGGTGAGTTAACCTTTTTGTCTCTAACTAAATTGCGAACGTGGAAGCATTTAAAGAGGACTGTCTGATATGGATTGTATCGGCTACTAAACTATCACTCATTCTGGTGCACAATTAGGACCTGTCCTGGATTATGGATTGGGTTTTAGAATCCATGGATTATTGATGCTTGATCATGGAACATCTCAATGGCACAGAAAGGTTGACCGAAGTGCTGGAGATGGAGAGAGAAGCTCCCCGTGAGTTTCAACCACTGCCTTTTCACTACGTCGAGATAGCCAAGTTGCTTCTTGACAAGTGAGTGACTGTTCCCACTCTTTAATAAACAATTTTATTATGGAGATGGAAACGAATTTGTTCCCAGAGTTCAAGTGACTGATAGCTAAATGATTATGTCTGTTGTTTTGTCAATTCAATCCGAAAATTCTCCGTTGGACCTGTGTCTGTTATGTCACTTCATCTCAAACTCTTATTGAGTCTTACACACAGTCATCTGTATTAGAATTATGTTGCGGGCGTTTGTTCGAAGGATGATATGAACAGATACGTGGTCTGCTTAGATTTGAGTCATGTTTAGTAATTGCCCTCACATTCAATTTGAGGGCATCCTTCCACAAATGCTCTTTTAATTTCTTCAGTTGTTTTTTTCAAGCTTAATTTTTTTTTGCTTTATCTGGTCAAAGAGATTGAAGTAACCTCCTCTGACCCTGCCATTATTTTTGCATGCTTGTGTGAAGTGCCCGGGAAGATTTTGAGAACAACTACATGGTAATGATTCATGAAATGCTGTTTACCGTTGGATTTTTCTATCTTTTATTTTGATCTGTGTTTTTCTAAAACATTTTCCCCCGTACGCTATATGATGCCAATGGAATGCTTGGAAAATGAGAGAACTTCCTTGGATATATATCGCTAGACAACGTTCGAGGTTGACAATTTTTCCAATTGAACAGGTGCAATCACTGTTAGAGGATATCAAAGATGTAAGGTGGGACAAAGTGGAGAAAGGTTTAAAAACGCTTTCCGGTCGTACTCACGCTGTGAAGGTCACAATCTTGCTATTGGACTTTCTACACACTTGGTGATGTGATCATGCTTACTTGATATTAGTTTGTTTGTCGAAGCATCATTGTGACAGTCGTGCTGCAACTACTCTAATTGCTTTCATTTTTGACCATGCTCATTCGTATCTCTTTGTTTGGATGCGCTTTGGGAAGCCGTTTTTGGAACTAATTTATGAGGGTTGTCGTTGTCTACAGCTGAAAAATCTTTCTGCTATGGAAGTTAATAGAATGCGAACATTCACTGTGAGAGCTCTTCAAAGCTTCTTCAAACATGACAACGACGATATGATGAAGCAGACACCTACAGACTCAGATAGTCAATCAACACCCACGTCTTCAGATCGGTTACCTCGTGTATGTTCTCAAGACTTCTTCACCCGGAGTTTTGACTTCACGTTTTACCTCTGTATGTGATGTTTAGACTGTTGGCGATATAGCACATCTCAAGCATGCAAGATTAGAAAAACTGTATGGAACGGTTGTTGCCATTTGTGACGCTGGGTAAGCAGAATTCGAGCTGGGTTTGTGGAGTAAAAAGGTCGAACATGCCAAGGTTCCGTGACTCGCAATTCGTGGATGATAAAAAGATAGACATGTGTGACTCTAATTAAATAAATGTGTAATGTGAAAAGTTGTTTACATTGCTCATTTGGTATGAAACCGGATTACGTCCGGTGTGTATCCGAGGATGTATCTTTCTTCTAAGCCTTGTGCATTTTGGTGTACCAGCGGACACTACGACCACGTTGACGGTATGCTCTTGTAGCGTAATTTGACGACTTAATGAGAAACAGTAAGTTTCCCTTGAGCAACTTTTAGTCTTCATGATAATCTACTGTGAAAACAAATGGATACTTGGAGGACACAAGCACCAACTTCTGCTGGGCTTTGCCATGCCTCTGGAATTCTACTAGATGTGGTTTGCGACCTTCTTAGTGCATCTTGGTAGATTTGCTGTTATGCTTTTTCAAGGGGTGGTCACGCCTTCAGCTTTTATACTGTTTCTGATGTGTAGGAATCCCTAGCTAGGTCCGTATTCTTCTTTTTAGTGTCCTTTTGCATTTGTATCGTAGCAACGGGAATCTGATCAGAAGTGGTGGTTTGAGATGAGAAAACAAGTAAATTTGATATGAGACAGGGATATGCACATCCTGGTGATGGTCGGGTTCGTGTTACAGGCATGACGATCAAATTAAATATTTCTGAGGCAGTACATGCCAATGACTTCATGCTGAGCAGAGAAAATTGTTAAAACATGGTATGCTTTGGACTTAAATGTACCAGTGTTACTTGCATAATGTTAAGTCAAAATATGTATTATGGCAGTATCCAAATTATGCACATAATTGTCTATGTTTAGCTACAAGCATGATAGCATTTGAATGTTTATAAACAAATGGTGTAGGCTAAATGCATTTTTATCAAAACACCGAACTTACAACACTTGGAGCATTTTTATTTAAAACTATAAAGATATGCCTATAAATGTTATCCAATCAGAAGTATTTTAACAGTTAATACATTAAATCAAGATGGAATAGAAGTCAGTTTCAGATGAATTGTCAGGTCTAATTCGTTACACTCTTTTCCGAACCGAAATAAAAACCCAACGAACAAAAACAAGTGTCAAGAAGAAATTAAATAATTTTATCCACTCAAAGATCAAGGTTTAATTTTTTTGAATTCCAGTCCTGCACTATACACGTGCATGCGACTTCAAACTTTTTATCTGTTATTACGGACGCAGTGGATAGGAATCCATTATGTTAATTCGGGTGGAAAAGAACACAACGTAAGCGTAATACTTGATTACATTAAGTCTACTTGGACTAATTAATCAAGTATCCTTCTAACATGGAACAGTCACCTTGCTCGATAGTGAATGCCTGATCAGGGGAACGGCCATAACCCTGACACCTTAGCTTTAAAGCAAAAGCATCGAGGCACAGGAGGGCATGTTCCACTTCGGATTATGCTTGCACCACTAAGATTCCTCTCAGGATCATGTCTATGGCTCCAGGCAAGCTTTACTCGGAATGATGCTTCGGCTACCAGGGAAGATTCCACCCTCTCTGGAGGTTGACGTGGAAACCAGCAGCATTAAGGCTCGTGACATGGACAAGTGGAATGAGTGTAGGAACGTGCCGAGAAGCACATGAGCACCGCCGTGCTTGGTCCCACTCTCACTCTGGTTGCTGCAAAAGCTCAACCCCGACGAGAGCAGCGTAGACATGAAAGGAACCGCATCGTGCCTTGTAGCGACGGGGTGACCATTGAGCCTGACATTGTGCGACCTGCTTTTCTCTCGTGCCTCTTTCGTGTTACGCAATCCTCCTGTCGCTCTCTGGTCTTAAACTCCTAATCCTTTTTCGTGCTTCGACGATGTGGTAATCTCAAGGTGCGGTGTAGTTCTTCCTCGCCGAACTGCAGGCTTCCTGTTCTTCGATTCGAAGGAACGAGATTCTTGTGACTGTTGTGGCGAGTTTGCGTTTGATTTTGTAGTTTTTGAGTCTGTGAAATTGTTTGGGTTTCAATTGGAGTGTGTTCGAGATTATTGATAATTTTCGGGGGAGCGGGGGAGGAAGTGGAGCATGAGTTCGATGCGTTGCAAGATTTAGTGGTGGTTTTCATTCACAGGATGGATGTGTTCCAAAGTGAGGTTGTAGGGATAGCAGCAAAGGTTGTTTCGAGAGGTTGCTATTCGTATTGATTTATTTGTTTGTTGTTACAGTAATGCGTTTGGACGTTCTGCACTGTGTTCTTACGATTACGTGTCCAAATCTTTACCGAGCAGTAATTTGAAATCGCTTTTTACACTCCTTTTATTTTTTTGGTGTCTATTTGTGCAAGGAGCGGGGTGATTCGGTTGCATTGTAGCGACTACTCTTTTAAATAGTTTCTTGTTTTTCTTGAGGATGTATTTACTTTGTCAAATTATTAATCGGTTAGTGCTGTTAGATCGCAACTGAGTTCTTATGTTTGTACATTTTTAGGGGTCGGATTAACAGGATTCGCATCTCGAGCAATTGACAACATTTGTATGGAGGGGAATTAGTAGGAGTAAATAACCAAAACACATGTTCAGGAATTATCGTGCTTGAAGATTGTTTCTTACCGTTTTGATCAGGACCTGACCAGACACTGCTACTGAATTGCTTCTGTACGCAGTGTACGCAGATTTGCTAGTCAAGGGTCGGAAAGAGCTGCTCTGCGTGATTGCAATCATATGACACCGAGCTTCCTTCAACTGTTCTCTCGTCCGGCTTGAGTTTTGGTAGTTCAGGAAGGAGCATCTATTAGATGAACTGGAAAAGGTCTATGAGGAAACGGATGGAGTTTAATGACTGGTGCTTGAGAAGCCCATGAATGAGGCAATGGTGCCACCTACTGATCCATTCCGACTTCGAGGTCTTGCAATTACACTCGATTCTTCTCATATGTCGGAGACTTAGGATGGATTCCATCGATTAGGGCTGTTTGGCGGGATACGGTCTGTGACGGGTTCGCTAGAGGGACGCGCTGCCATGGCTGACGCTCCTTTAAGAAATGTGGACATTACAGAGAAGGCTATTTCCGCTGCGGGGGCCGCAGTCATATCCGCAGTTATTGTTAATCCTCTGGACGTCGCCAAGGTGTGTCTAAAACCCTCTGTATATCTCATTATAGTAGGCACTTGTATCCAAGCTTACTCGAACTTATACTCGAACAAGAACTTCTTCTGGAAAAAATCAGAATTTTTTCCTGACATGTATCCCCATTTCCTTTCACTTTCAATGTACTCCAATTCGTGTACATAAGTCTGAAGTGTTTAAGTTACGTCCTGGTGGATTCGCCACATTTTCCTAAGCAACCGTTGACTTTTACTGTTGACAAAGAAATGGGACATATGACCAAGTGAATTGTGGTGACACTATTCATCTTGGGACACCAAAGATTATAAGTGGGATGGAGCCTTTATTCGTCCGTAAAATCCTTTAAAATTATGTCTATGCAGACAAGACTCCAAGCGCAAGGAGCCGGAGTGTCTTATCACCAAGCAACTTGTGAAATGGAGGCTTCTAAATCGTTCAAGGTAAGGTGGTGCAATGTTAGATAAGTAATAGTTCTTATTTTGTTTTACTTGTCGATTATAGTCTGAGCTTTATATTTTAACGATTCTAAAATGTTGCGCAGTTGATCGAAATCTCAGTGTTGCGAAGTTCTCATCTGTTGCAGCCCTGGCAGAAACTTTTGATAGCGTGCTAGTTTTCAGCATATTGGCACTAGGTTTCAGAAAATCAGGGTTGGTGGTACAGCGATTCGGATGCCGTAATGAGTTAACGTGCCTTGAATAATTTAAACAGGTGAGTGTAGATGGAAGGTGCGCACCAGCTTGTCCCAGAACTAATGTTGCAGGGATATCCCCCGATTGCCCTCCTCCTAGTCAGCATTACAAGGGAACTTTGGACGTTATGCGAAGAGTTGCACATGAGGTGATAGCTTTTTTTTTTGTTTATTTTTTCCTTTTCGGGATTACAAGCAACCAGTATGAGTTCCTAGTAGTCATGAAGAAGATTCCATCAAATTCTGCTACAGACATTGACACATTGAGATAAGTTTGTGTTAGGATTATTTTTGCGGATGTAAAGATTTTGTCGTTTAGAGTTGCTTATGCTTAATAATACTTATTTTAAACTCACAAACATTTCTCTTTTGGGAATTGATAAATGGCGCTCTTGTTTGCAACACTCTATCTACAGGCACGTCATTTGATGGTCTTAATAGATTGTTGAATGCAGGAGGGCTTTATTCGGTTATGGAGAGGACTCAATGCCTCTCTTGCAATATCTGTACCGACAGTAAGTCATTTTACTGGTTCATATGCTTCAATAATTGTTAGATTTGATTTTATACTTAATTTCTATTTTCAGTGTCTCAAACAGACAGTTGATAAGTGAGTTTAATTGCACAGGTTGGGATTTATCTACCATGTTACGACGCTCTTCGAGAAGCTATTTGTCGGTATTCTGATGAGAATTTCTTGAATATGAAGCCATATGCACCATTGTTAGCTGGTTCTTTAGCACGATCTTTGGCAGTTATTGTATGTTCACCTCTTGAGCTTGCCAAGACTCGTATGCAGGTAACGCTTCTTTTCAATTAATACTTATGAATTCTTTTGTTCCTGATTGCTTGTGCGGCTTCAATGATTTTAGGAAGAGATCAGCTCAGTGAAGTATTGCTGGTATGGTCATCTTTTATCCCTGGAGCTTCTCAAACACATATATGTACACACACTTTTGTATGTATCTGTACAAATCGAATAATTAGTTACATTTTTGGATTATTGCAGGCTCAAGTAGATCGAAAGAGTGGAAAATTGCCTGGGATTGTTTCGGTCTTACGTAGTGTGAAGGAAACTCATCGAGGGAGTGCAGGCCGATGTAAGATTTTTTCTACTTTTTTTGGAAGTTTTCAGTGGTTCGGTTAGACTTTACTTCTGTGATGACCTTGGGTTCCTATACTCTGTTCTCCTTTTTGTGCGCATTATGAATGATACATCTTATTGTTGGCAGTGCAAGGAATGAGGGTAATGTGGACAGGTGTGGGAGCACAGCTTGCTCGAGATGTTCCATTTTCTGCTATCTGCTGGAGTGTCTTAGAGCCTGTAAGCACATTGCATTCATGTTATAATGTTAGCTCCATAGTGTTTGAGTTAAAAACTGTAGCATCAGCTGGTCTACCTGTTGTTATCTTATGTTTGAAATTTATGCTCGTCCACCGTGTGTATAAAAAATGCTCAGATGAATGTTATATTATATTTCTTGTTTTTTGATTTGATTGAGTAAAAATTCAATTTACACCTTGAAATACACATTTATATTAGACTGAGTTATATGATGCAATAGTTCTGTGCATGAGGGTACGGATTTTCTTTGGAGAATATGATGCAGTAGGATGCATTCCATGCGATGCATCACGTTCTCTTTGTCTTAGCATCATTCATTGGTACTGGGTTATGTGCAGCTCCCTTTTCAGCTGCTACAAGAGCAATATACGTTCTTATTCTATGAGCTAATTAGTACACATCTGCAGGCACGAGACTTTCTCCTTGAAGCTGCAGGCTCAGATCCACATATAGGAAGGGTATTAGGAGCCAATTTTGGCGCAGGCATGATTGCAGGTGGCATTGCAGCAGCTGCTACTTGCCCGCTTGATGTAGTCAAAACTTGGCGCCAAATCGAGGTACTTTATCTTGTCTTTTCTTATTCTCTAGAGCTGGTTCGTTAAGGGAGTTTCTAATGAAAAATTTGGGGAAATGCGAGATTTCACAGTTCTTTCACTTTTTTCTGCTAACTTTCAGTCACAAAAACTTGGTGCACGTTGCAATCTTTATGTTTGAGTTCTTTTAAAATAATGTCTTTGGCTTTCCTGGCTCATTTTGTGGTTTTGTCGCACAGAAAGATCCTGCAAAATCTATGTCCACGACTCTTCGGCGAACGCTATCTGAAGTTTGGCAGTAAGTTGCTCATTCGAAACACACAGGAAATTTTTTTTTGTGTCGAAAAATATCGGTAGTAAGGTTCTAATTATTCTCTTATTGATATGCGTTTTCTTGGTAGAATTAAGGTATGTATTTACATTCTCGCTTTAGGTTTACTAGTGTCGTTTATCATCATTCCGGGACTTTAAGAGTACCCAAGGATATAATGAGTTTACCTACTATGTTTTATGTGTGCCTTTCTTGGTGCAGGAAAGGAGGGCTGCGTGGACTATACACAGGAGTTGGTCCTCGTGTGAGCCGTGCTGCTCCTTCAACAGGAATAGTGATCTCACTATATGAGGTTGTCAAGTATGTTCTTCACAGAACTTAATTTGTTTAAGACGGAATACTAAACTGCATTGTTCCTACAAGCTCCCGTATGCGGAACAGTAGGTGTACTTTCAAGTTTTTTTGATCATATAGCTTGACAATTACCTGGGGAGAAGTTTTGGGCACTTGTACAAAAATTATGCTCCCTGTAACGGGTTTGCAATGCTTTGGAGATGGGCCATAGCTGCACTGCGTCGTTACTCTTGCAACAAACAGGAGGAGATAATGTTTTCAAGGCTTTGAATAAGTAGAAATCTTTCGAGCAACCTGTTTTGACACTAAAATTGGAGTTCGGAGATTTAGGTGGGGCTTATTAGTGGTACTTGGAATGATCACCCTGAGCTCATGGACCGCATGCAAATGGAACTCTGAGCGATCATTCATTGTTCTTCCTAGAAGCTTAACAGAGACTTAGCACGTCTACAAGCGTTTTAGAAAGGTGAATTACACTGAAAGGATCTGTCAATTTTATACGATCCTTGTATCACTAGTTAGAAGCTTCAAAAACCAAAATTTGGACAGATACTTGCAATATGAAGATGTCCGCAGTTGGCATTTCTTTGGAATACTGTGGTTTCATCATTGGAATTGTCATCAGCTTGTTGGATTGAACATGACAAATGCCACCTACTCCAGTTTAAAATGTATGTAAGACTTAGCAATTCACATGTATTTTGAACGTGTTATTGACCACGACGAAATGAGGTAATATCTGTCATACTTATCAAAGTGTACTTCCTAAATTAATCATAGTTTTACAAAATCATTTTTTATCTACATGTATTTATGCACAATTTCGCCTCGATGAAACACTTTCATATTGAGTATGTTGTGACAGCCAGTTTAATTGTGACAAAAAAACTGTTTTAATTCAATATTGTGTTGGATGTTATGTTTTTACAAAGATATAAGATTATTGAATGCACATATACTAAATATAAGAGGATAAGTATTTTAACCATGGAAAACTACATTTTAATCATTGTAGTTATGAGGAGATTATTATCTAAATTTAAAATTAGTTAAAAATGGATCCAAATAAAGATTGAGTTTTCTTTGATATGATTCCATAATAAATTCATGAATTTAAGATTTCAAAAAATAATATATATATATATATATATATATATATAAACATACATCATTTAAAATTTGATATTAAATAAAAATACATTTATCTGCCATTTTGCTCAAATAGGCCATCATAACAGTACACATTGCATCTTTTTTCTACATGCCTAAAATGTTTTGCTCAAAAAAATCAAAAAAGGTCTGTTTCTATAATAAAAATGAATATCTCTGTAAAAATTTCAACAACGTATTCATTTTTATAATTTCAGTCAATTTTCCACATTTTGTTTACCCAATCAATAGAAAGCTAGGAAATATATATATATATATATATATATATATATATTTATATATATATATATTTATATATATATTTATTTAGATACATCTGTGTGTTATTTTTAGGAGTTCCAATTGTATCATTTGCAAAATTCTACCTGGTCAAGTAAGATTTTAAACAATTCGTGCAATTTTATTTCTGTAGAAACGATGCAGCTCAGGACATATTTACTATTCGAAGTAATTAATTAACGGATGGTAAATATAGGCGGGTAAGGAATGTGGCATTGACCCGTTCTCCCCGATTTTTACTATTGGTCCCGGTCAGATCAATAATCGAGGTCTGACGAATGAGCCCAGAACCCCAAGGATAAAATTCTCTCCACGTTCCCATGGCATAAATAACCCACGGGAACGGTTGCATTTGTTGTGTTGCGAAGACGACTCCACAAGCGGAGCCCCTCCGAAACTGATTTCGGGACTTCCATCGACCATCGCGGACGCGTGATCACGACCTGATAGTGCATTGTTCTTCGTCAGTAGCTCCTTTTTCTTTCAATCGCAATCTCTTTCACGCATTGCGAGCTTTCCGTGGACATCTTTCTCGCTCGAACTGGCTCTGTACTGCGTGGTTATGGGACTTTTCCGTCTTGCCCTAGTCGTCCCGTGAAGGTTGTGCATCGCTCGTTGTAATTTTGGTCTCTTGATTGTAGTTTTGCTGCTTTATTCATTGACTTCATTGATTTTCCGGATCATTTACGCTCGGGTTGAGTAGGTTTGGCTGATGACTTGCAGCGTATGTAGGATTTGATTTTGGCGAATTGAGAAACTGTTTGGCGATGCGACTTGGGAGTTTTTTAGGGTTACCGTCGTTGTAGTTGGTTACGGGAGCTGCAAAGTTGAATTTGGGATTGTGACGTTGATTTTGGTATTGCTTTGAGATAGTCGGAAGGTTTCGAGAGTAGTCCATGAAGCTTCTATGCTCAACGGATCTCTTTCTAATCTAGAGACTTTGCATTTCTTGTTGTATCAGTCACTGGCATGTTGTAATGTAGGCATTGATTTGACGTTATTGGATTTACGATTGGATCCTGTCATGTTCTTTGATTTTCCTGAGGTCGGTAGCACATAATGCCCTGAAGTGTCGCAGCGGATTGTACTATGCCTGTTGCTTGGGGTAGTTTCAATTGAGGGTGCGTGCAATCTTTCTGCCCGAGAGCATATGTTTTAGAAAATAATCAATGAGTCAATTTAGTTGGTCATGCGCATTTTATTGCCACCCTTCTCGTGTTGTTTTCAACGATCGTTACTCAAGTTCTCTGTAATTGATTGTGCAGGATTGTCATCAACTGACTCGATGTAAGTGATACGTGACCAGTCTGTTACATCTTTGCAGTCGTAGCCATTTCATACGTTACGAATACTGTGCACAATAAGCTCGGTCATCTGGTGGCAAACACGTGGAATTCATCATGGGGGCGACACGGAAATTACAAGGAGAAATTGACAAAGTTCTGAAGAAAGTGCAAGAAGGCGTCGATGTCTTCGATAGTATCTGGAACAAGGTGAATAAGTCTAGTATCTGTCCAAACTTTGTTGAGTTCTGTGTTTACACAGAGAGGCTGTGATATGGCTGTTTTACATCCTTTTGGTGCTTATTCTGCAGGAATGCTGTTGAGAATGGGTCTTACTGCATTTCATGATGTTGTGAAGGGGGCCATATCTAATTATGCACAATCTTTAAAATTAGTCGTGAGTTTAGAGAAAATTATTTGTTGACTTCTTTAATTTTTGAGAACTGATTTTTATAAGCTACTCAACAGTGAAGCAGTGGACATTGAATTACTCAGATCATGGACAATTAATATCGTCGGTGGTTTTTCTGGTCTTTCTCTCCGTAGTGCTGACGAAGAAACACGTTGAGGTGTCGCAGGTGTACGATACTGAAAATGCAAATCAGAAGGAGAAGTTCGAGGCCGATTTAAAGAAAGAGATCAAGAAGCTACAGCGTTATCGTGATCAAATCAAGATGTGGATTCAATCCAGTGAGATTAAAGACAAAAAGGTATTAAAGAGAAAAGATCATATGTCACAACTAAATGTCGTGGTTTTTTTTTCGTTTCGTTTCTCTTCGTGCTTTTCGATCCCCTTTTTTAGTCCTTGGATGTGTTTGGGTATCCTCTTTTCAGCGTATGTCAGATCTCTATCTAAACCTTTCAATCACAAAATTATGCTCATATCTTTTCATTTGTTGAAATTTTGTGTTGATGACTTTTGTAGTATAGTGACATTTAATACTGATGGTCTTTAATAATCACCGTAAACTGTGGAGTGATGACAAACTCTACTTGATATCGGTTGTTGCGACTCGATTTTTAGTTTTAGTTTTTATTTTTATTTTTTAGTGTTTGAAGGATGGATTGATTCTCTCATAATTGAAAAAGTTTAGATACTGGAATAGTGGGGTGTAATGTTGTTAATAGTATTCCTGTGTTTTCTTTGTGGTGTAGGCTTTACTTGAGGCTCGGAAGCAGATAGAGAGAGAAATGGAAAGATTTAAAGTATGTGAGAAGGAAACCAAGACAAAAGCATTTTCCAAAGAAGGCCTGGGTCAACAACCTAAAACGGTTTGTCTCTACTTTCGCGTACATACATTCCGATTGTATGCTTTATCGAATTGATCAGCTAGAATTTGCTTGGGAATTGCTTCATATTGACTTAGTGGAATGAGTGTCTAACACTAAAGAATGTCGAGATGGACTTTAAATATCAATCTATGAGTGACAAATGTTGATAATCCTCTGGGTTGTCTAGTGCATTTTTGTTTACCTTCCGTTCCGTTTGTGAGTATCTCTGTTTGTTTTACATTATGAGTTGTTTTGTGCTGCTTAATTGTGGCTTCGGGTTCTTTTTAGTAGCGTTGTTTCACAGTTTTTGTACTCTTTTCATTTAGCCCGGTGTAATCAGCTCAATCCTCTCTCTCAAGTTGGTAGTGTATATGCCTGCTTGTTTGCAGGATCCACGAGATAAAGCAAAAGGGGAGTCACGCGATTGGCTTAACAATATGGTATGCTATAATTGTTGCTTATGCTTTGCGAACTACTTCTCTGTGTTTCTTTATGTAGTTTGTGCATAGGATTAAGGAGTCCAGTCTCTTCTGGGATAGTAGAAGTGACTGCATCATACGTACTTTACCAGCTTGATATATTGGAAATTTATTCCTGCATTGGCAGGTTAGTGAGCTGGAATCTCAAATTGACTCTTTCGAAGCAGAGATGGAAGGCCTTCAAGTCAAAAAAGGAAAGGCCCGGCCTCCCCGTTTGGTATTGCATCCGTTTCCTATATTCTGGCTGTATTCTATTTATGTGTCAATCAACTGAGAGTTTCATGTATTGTTTGTTCTCAAGATGTGTTTTACACCTATGTATTTTCCGTCGATATATAGAAATTGAAATTCGTCAAATTTGCAGACCGTGAAATTTTCTCTGTTTTCCTGTTTGAATGTGCAGACTCATCTCGAGGAGTCAATCAATCGACATAAATTGCACATCATAAAGTTGGAACTAGTGTTGCGTCTATTGGACAATGACGAACTATCTCCTGACGAGGTGATGGAAGTAAGAGATCTAGTTGAGGACTACGTTGAACGTAATCAGGTGTGGTTTCTTTCATCGTTCATGTGGAATTGAGTTATTTTAATTTTATAACTGACATTAAAGTCATGAATCATCGGCTCTAACTTTTAGAATTACTCAACGAGTCTTGTATGTGGCTGATAGTGATAGTGTCTGTTTGATAGTGATTTTGAGTGTGATGTTTGCTTTGCTCTTAAGGAAGTCAAACATGATATTGTCGAAGTCTATCGAACTCGTGTTAGAAACAGTCGTGTTCATTAAGCTCGTCCGCGGCGGCACATAAAAGTCGAGATGACACTGCTTAGCAGTTTCTCGATCGTTCATATTTATTAAGTAAATAAGTGATTTGACGTGCAGGATGATTTTGATAATTTCGAGGACGTTGACGACATATACCAATCTCTACCTCTTGATAAGATTGAAGCACTGGAAAATCTGGAAGCAATACCAAATGTTGCTCCTTCTATTGTCGTCAAAGAGAAGGTAATTAACCCTGGGTCTTGTTTGTAATTTATCTCAAGGAACGTATGTTCTAAGAGGATAACGATTAATTTAGTCATCACTGCCCTACTTTACATATATGCCTACTTACATGAAGAGCAGTTTCAATACGTGGAACTTTTGTTCTCTTGGTAGACTAAGTATTTTAAGTTTGCCACATCCAGGCTGCAGTTGCAGCAGCTGCTGGAGTTGGTGCACCTCTTGGTTCTGTTCTGAAACCCACTATTTCTTTGCCAGTTGTTCAATCCGTAAGTGTGCTCATTTCAACCTAAACCCGTTTCCATTATCAAACTCGCCAATTCCATTAGCTTGATTACTGCACGAGTCCAATCGCTTGTCCTTAACGATCAGAATTTTCTAGAAATTCCTTAATTTTTAGTTTTCTTGTTTACACTCAATGACAAGACCGCTTATTGATAATTTTAACTTTATACAGGTCACTGCTTCATCACTAGGAATATCCCCTCTTGTCTCTCCATCATCACAACCGCTTGCCAACGATGACATTTTGACTTCTTCAGAATCATCTGCCGAGTCTCCAGGGCCCCGGACACGAGGTGCCCCTACGTTAGCAACGTCTCCCACAAGTAGTATATCAACTTCAAGCTCTTCTGCAGCCGTACTTAGTGTTAGTCCAGTGGCAAGTGGAGGTGTTACTTCACCTTCAACTGGAGCTGGATCCCTGTCCCGCCAGCTCGGCACTTTGAACACTATGGGTAAGCGACAATGTGAAGCATTTTCAGTAAGTGAATTAGCTGAGGGAGCTGTGCAATTTCTCCTTGGGTTGAATATCTTGCAAACGATATGCGTGGCTATCTGTGAGTACGCGGATGAACATGCCATGTGTGTTGTTATTTTTTAAGTTACTTTTAACTTTTAATTTTCTAGACGATTTAAAATTGAAAACTAAGAAAAAATTCCCATGCTTTCAAATCACTTATTTATTTATTCTTCAGGTACTCCAACCGTTATCTCCCCTGCAAGGCCTGTGTCAGTAAAATCTCTACCTACAGCTTCTGCTCTTCAACCCACTCTTTCGCAAGGTCGAATGAAAGAGGAGGATACAAATGTGCTCCCAGGACGGCGTGTAGGACCAGGATTGAGTGAAACTTCCATTCGGGGACAGTCCCCTCCTCCTGTTACGGCACCTGGGAATGGAAGCCTTCTAGTGTCTCCCGCGATGGATTTGAGTATGAGGCTTGGTGTCACTGGTGGTGATGACAGACCTCCAACAGGTGGCGGTTTGTCACAGCAGTTCGCTGGGACTTTAGGTAACTCATGTCTCATATTGTTTACGTCTTTATTGTGGTATTTATCTTGTTGTCAAGCTGAACTCGGCTGCCCTTATGAGAGACTCCTGGAGACTATTGATTTTGATTAGATCGCGCTGTTTTAGACTCATCATCTTTTCACATATGTCTTGTAAGCGTACAATATTTTCTATACTCAATGGGAATTGATGGTTTTAGGTGGTGGGAACCGTGTATTTGGACCGGGAGGTCTGGGTGACACTGGAATAGGGGCATCAGACACCGGGCTCTCGGGCACTCGTTTGTTTCCAGGTCAGTTGTCCAAGTGCATGTCCTTGCGAAAGAGTAGTTTGGTTACGCACATGACTGTTCCATCTTCTCTTTTTATCGCTACTTATGCACCTATTAGGCTACGGACCTTCTTCTTCTTTTGAAACGAGTCTATATTTTGCAGGCAGTGGTATGTCAACTGGTGGGCAGTGGCGTCCACATTCTGCAAATACACAAGAAACGGTAAGACATGTTTTGTAAATTGTGTCCGTCATTTTTCTACACAAACCTCGTCATAATTTGGAACTTTGTGTGTGTTCTTTTGAAACTGTTTCCGCATGCTCTAGCTTTAGATGGCTACGATGATGAATGGTTCATCTTGTGACTTGTCTCTAGTAAGCAATGACTTTTACTACTTATCCCGCTTCTGCCCTCTGCCAGCATATTGCAGAAGAATATTATGCAGCTCATTATCAGATACCGTAGCGTCTGTCTTATTTACTCTTTTTATTTATTTTTCTTCAGGGCCCATATCATGTGCGATCTGAAATCATGCCGGATCAGAAACAAAAATTCTTACAACGGTACCAACAGACACAGCAAGGTCACTCTGCTGCTTCTCTACTTACAGGGGGATCTCAGCTTTCAAGCTCCTCACTCAAGCAACCTCCTGGCCTTTCTGCTCCACAGGCGAATCTTCTTCAGCAGGTGCTGTATATTCTCTTGCATATCTTCATTGTCTCTTGTTCTCACAAAATTCACCTCCTATGCATGGAGTCTTCAAGTTGCTGTGACGCAACCATGTGGTTAATTTGAAACTTGTGCAAACAATATCCAGTGAGTAGATGTTCGAGCATGCTGGCAGACGGTTTCTTAACCAGATGTGATTTTAAGACATGGCTCTTACTTTTCATTCTCGTTGTAGGCCCAGCTACACATATTGCAGCAACAACAGCAGCAGAACTTGCAAAATTCAATGTTAGGAGCTTCTCAGAACTCATCCACTCAAAGACAGACGTCACTTGGTTTGGTTACAAGCTCGCAGTCATCTTCTCCTTCCTCTACACCTGTACCAGCACATTTGTCGCAGGGGTTGTCAACATCCTCCCCACAACAGTTTGCACAATTGTCTTTATCGTCTACGACTTCTCCAACTGAACATGGTTCGTACCTTCTCTGGTTGAGTTTATAAAAAAGTTTCTTATTTACATGTAGGAATGTTGTTCTCCCTTTTCGTTTCCTGACAGGTTTCACTTTATGAAGTACACTGCAAACTCAATTTTTCCGTTGCGGAGATATGTACATGTGTTTAGGCTAGTTCATGCCATTATCTTCAACATGAGCATATCGCTCGTCATGCTTCTGCATCCTAAGCTTGAGTTTTTGATATTGCTGTGTATTCTCCAATAGATGCCAGCAGTAGAAGAATGGAGTCAGCACAGCAACAGATGCCTTCTCAGCTGCTTAAATCATCAGAAGACTCTGGTGCTGATGTCGCATCTCTGGGATCAGCCTTCAGAAGTGGCATGACATTCAGTGATGATGATCTAAAAAATTCGGATACCTTCGATGTCTCCGTAATGCCCCTCACCTTTTCTGATGATATGTTTTATTTTCTGTTATTTATGTGAGCAATCTTGGTAATTTCTGTGGTGCTTCGAAGACGTGTCATGATGTTGCACTTGTCGTTTGATGTCGACCCTCTCGAGGCAATGATTACCGGATTCGGAATCAGGAATATAGAGAAACATGAATTAACAATCAGTTCATTGTGAAGCTTTAAAAAATATCAATGAGTTAATGAGGAACAATGGGGCATCAGTTACCATTAGGGAAGTGTTCTAGTGATTTTGAATTTCGGTTTTTTTGTGGGCTCTGCATGAAAATATTCTATTGTTGAACCCCACGACATAGAAAGTTATTTAGGTCAGATGCAATATCTCTTATCCTCTACGTAGGTTACTTTGTGAGTCCTATCTGGCATGAATGCAAGTGATGTCGTGGTTGATTTTGCAGATGAAATGGACTAGATAAAAGGAGTACTATGATAGAGAAACGTCAAAGAATTTAAACCAAGCTTTAGGGATCAACTGAAATTCTCCTCTAAGGAATTCAATGAGTAATGAACAGTCAACAAAGAAACTGAAATGACTAATCATCCGTATAATAGTAATAGCTAAAACTTAACCTATTTTGTGGCTAATGCTTTAACTTGGTAAAGAATTTCCTGAAGTTCCCCGGTCCGCCAACTTCGGAGATGAGGACTGCCAATTAATCTAAAGATATCATATTGATTAAATGTATTATAAATGCTAGTTAATCTTTGGATGGTGATAAGGAAAGAGACTTCCAAGAAGATAAAAAAACAAGTTGAGCCAACAAAGAAACGAAAAACCTCTGTTGTGATGCAGGGACCCAAAGAAGGTGACAGTTGGTATGGCAAATCTACTCTGCAGGTCGGGACACCGGGCTCACTCGCTGACTACAGTCAACAATCTCGAGATGCTGATCTTGCACCAGGGCAGCAGAGTCACCATCCACAATCCTCTATGAACCCAGGTGTTATAGGACGGCGGAGTGTTCCAGATCTTGGCGCAATCGGGGATAATATAGTCCCATCTTTGGGACGCGAACATTTTGTAGCACAACATGAAGCTTTGGAGCATGCTTTCAGAAACCTACCACTACCAAAGGATTCAGAAAGGCCTAAGAGCTACACTCCGGTAATTCTAACTTTCGATTGGTTCAGGCCCATCTAGCCTTGTAATGTCTTTGTTTTTCTGTTGAATAGCATTTTGGCATCCTGCTGTTCTTTCTGTTTTCTGGATGGGTATTTTTCTTAATTTTTCACTGCTAATCTGTTGTCATTTCGCAGAGGCATCCAACCATTACTCCTGCTTCGTATCCGCAAGTGCAAGCCCCAATTATCGATAACCCAGGCCTTTGGGAACGACTAGACAAAGATGTTCTTTTCTATGCCTTCTATTATCAACAGGTGTTTTACATATCATTATGTCTACTTTTAGAAGAGTTAACCGAATTCTTCAGACTGTACTTCATTTATTATTATATTTTAAAACATGGTATTTATATAATTCAGAAATCGTGAAAACCAGTGGATGTTCCAGTGTTTTCTCTTTTTATAGTTGTACTGCTCATATATTACTTACTATTGTGTTCTCTTTGTTCTGCTGGACTTCCACAACAGGGTACTTACCAACAGTATTTAGCAGCTCGGGAGCTAAAAAAGCAATCATGGCGGTACCATAAAAAATATAACACTTGGTTTCAACGTCACGAAGAGCCCAAGGTTACTACAGATGAGTATGAAACTGGCACTTATGTGTATTTCGACTTCCACGTCGTCCACAATGACTATCAACAAGGCTGGTATGCTTGTTATTCGTCGTTCTTTGCTTCCTTGAATATTTTTTACGTGAACTTTAGAAACATGATGTTTGAAAGTGAATTTGAACGCACATTTTTGCTGACGTCAGTAATCACTCTCTTGCAATGTCTTGAGGGTCTAGTCGCTGCTGCTCATTAACTACGGCATTGCAACCGTGCAGGTGTCAACGAATCAAGACAGAGTTCACGTTTGAGTACTGTTATCTCGAGGATGAACTTGTTGTTTGAGGCTTCCATGTGTTCGTGTTTCATTCCAATCAACAAGAAGTTTCTTTGTAAATAGCTACACATGTTGTGTAAAGACTAACCATTCTAAGTGACAAGATGTATGCTTATTCTTACCCGTGTAGCATTCAAAATATGGAACAAATTCTTGCAATTGCTTGACACATCAGTGTAATCTTGAGTAAGTTCTAATTGGTACAGTGCTCATATCTGGACCTTAAACTCAGGTTGTTTGTATAAATGAGCTTGGAAGGTGGGTACATCATTCTACCCTACATGATCAAAGTATGTTGACCAAGAAAATTTACCAGAACTTGTATAGAATGTTTACTTCAGTACCTGCTGAAATCAATCAAATGATCACTTGAGGTGTTTCTAGAGGAATGGGCTTAGAGATGAAATCAGAGACTAACTTTGATAGGATTCTGAATAATGAGTAAAGAACATATATGATTGTGGAGCAATGACAGTAATCCCTAAGGGATCTTCAAATTGTTCAATCGTACAATTTGAACAATTTGCTATCGAATCTTCAAATTGTTCATCGTACTTCCAATGAGGGGTTGCCATTGGAACAATGAGGATTCCTACAGCTGTTATAAGCCACACACCACCAGCAAGCCACTTGCTAAGATAATGCCATATATATTCCAATGGCCTTGTGCATTGTTGGTAGGTTGGGATTCCATCCAAGGCTGGCCCACCTGCTCACGCTCGTGCCTTACATTGATCAAGAGACAGAGGATGGCAAGCAGTCGGCAGCGCTTCATTCATCTTTTCGGGATGGGAGCGAGGGACCTGGTCCTAAGCCCCCAATTTTGGGGGTTGTGCAAGAAATGGGTCTTAGAGCTAGTATTGAAATAAAAAGCAGGACCTTCTATTCTGAGCTCTGAGATGATACTGCAATATTGTAGGTTACATGACGCATGGAGCCCATTTCACATCGGGGTCATTGGGATCTGCAAAATGTTCTATAATGCGTGTTGAAGGTTTGCACTTAAGGTTGTGTGACTCAACCTCATGTTCTTGGAGTTGGCCTTCAGACTTGTGGAGAGAGTTGCATACAAGCTTTGATTGTGTTTCTAAGATTCAGGTCGTTTTCTTTTGGTGGGCAGTTGCAGCCTAGTTGTTGATTTCGGGGGCGTCAATCATGGTATTGGTCCAGCAATACCTTTTTCCGACGCTTTATCTTCCTACTCTCTCTTGTGCAGCCAAGCTTTTTTTTCTTTTTGCTTATTTCTCTTCGTCTAGTTTTCTCTCTTCTTATGTTTTCCTCGCACCCATCTGTCACTTCCAGTTGGTCGCACAATCCAGGTTAAACATTTGTTGTTTTAACTCTTGGATTGGTGAGTTTTAGGTTTGAATTTCGTCAAGTACAAGCGTCTTGATATTAGCTTTTAGACAAGCCAAGAATTTTTGAGTTAGGAGATTGGATGAGTTTTTGGCAACAATTTAAGTGAAAAGTGGTCCATTGCTCTAGCAGTTTGAAAAACCCTACGTCAAAGAATTGTATATGCTCAACTATTGAATTACTACGAAATTTGTTGGTGCTGAATTCACGTATTGTGTGATTTGAACAAGCCAAAGGTCATCAAAATTGGGAAAACAAGGAGATATGGGCTACTGGTTGAGCGAAGGAAGGTCCTTGAGCTTGTAGTACGTTCTTAGGCGAGGGCATCCTACTTTTGTTTGTTTTATGCCATAGCCGCCCTGTTTACACTAGATATTCTAGTCCTACTTGGGATTGGTTTCGAATGGAGCCTACTCACGATGGACATCAAATTTTCATTAACCACCAAATATTTTTGTTCATCCTCAATTCAGGAGTTGCCTTCATTTCCTTCTATTACTATGGATAGAAACGAAATTACAAGAAAATAATTGAATATAAATGTAAAACAAAATAAAAAACAAGCTATCAAAATTACAAGAAATTGAAATTATAATATTTTGTATGTATTAGCTTTAAATAATATAAACCTGAGGTGGTATCAATGTGCACAAATTTGATTGGTGGTTCCTTACAATTAGTTAGTACTTGAATTACATGAACTTATTAAATTCACAAATATATTCTACAGCAATAGTTAGTCATATAGCTCTAAAAGAATAGCAGCCTAAAAATAAATATTTAAAAATCAAATCTATTTAAAGAAAATATTTTCAGCTTTGAAATAATTTATTGTAATATTCTAACAGAATATGAATGCAATCTTCTTAACACATATGTTCCAAAAGATGTAAAAAAATAGAATATTAAGTTTACCAAGAATTAATTGTAAAAAACTTTTATGAATAATTCTTGAATAGTGTTTGATTGTTTAGAATCCTTAAAAAAATCCAAAATAAATTAAAAAAATTAAAGAAATTAGTATTGGAAGACTTCATAAAAATTACATTGATCATATCATGAGAGTAAATGAAGTAGCAATTATTCAGATGTAAGTTTTATTTAATTATTTATATATTGGATTAAAAATATTTATATGTGTATATATATATATATATATATATATATACATATATGTATAAATATTAGCATATTAAAGATATAATAGTTTTAATAAATATGTCTTTATCATTTAGGATATATTTGATTTATAAATTTCCAAATTTTTTGAAAACTCCCAATCAAGTTTACAATCAATAATTATGTGATTAGAAAATATATTGTTTCTAAATGATATGGTTGGTGTGGTTGCAATACCTAAATTAGGCAAGACTACTTTGATAAGGATTTTTTAAGTTTATATTAATAAAAACTTGAGTAACAAAAACAAGTCTTTATTGTATGGAAATGGTAGTTTTGAAGAAATATCCTTTGATATTAGATCTTGTCTACAAAATAAAATTATGTAAGATCTGAATAATAAGTATTTAATAGAATCAAATAAGATTATAAATTTTTTTAGATGCAAAAAGTTAAGCAAATTATCTTTTGGAAGAAAAAATATTATTAAAAAATAAATTTTAAGATAAGAATTATCTTTTAATTCTTGATGATGTATTTAGTTTCAAAGTTTTGAAACAACTAATAGATGTAACAATATTTAATAGATAAGACAAACAATTAATTCATGTAGACTATTTTAAATATTTATGCAATTAAAGAAGGTAAAATTGGAATTATTTTTAATAAATGAGAGTGATGTGAAAATATTTTCTAAGTATGATTTTAAAGAAAAATATTCCAATCTATTATATTCACACAAAGTATCTATAGAGGTGGTTAAAGCTTGTGCTTGACACTTTTTGAATTTAGAAATTGTGGCATCTTCTCTGAATAGACAAACAAGAGTTTGTGTGGAGGAAGAAGCTTTGCAAAGATTAAAAAATCAATAATATATCACAAGTCTAATGATATGTGGACAAGACTAAAGCCTTATTTTTAAAACTTTAATAACGACAAAATGACATTGTTTTAATTGTTGCATTTTTTTTTAGTAAAGATATAGTATCAAAAAAATATTAAAAAACTAAAAATCATCTATTTTTATAAAAATGATATTTTAAGCTTAAAAGATAAAGTATTCATCAAAATTATTGAATATAGAATCAGAAATTTTCATGGTTTGTTATGTGATATAGTTGAAGAGTTTGTAGAGATGATTTGGAAAAATTTAGAAGATAGAACGTAAATTTGAAATTATTTTCTAATTTTAAAAATAATATATGATATAAAATCTATTAAACTATCCAACTTCACATATTTGTAAGAACATAAGGTTATATATAGAAATTATATTTATAAATTACTAGTTGATTGAAATAACAAATATTTTGAAAAATTTTAATTTATAAATGAGCATTATACTATAAGAAGTTGTGGATATATGAAGATTTTTTTTGTTTTGTAACATATAGATTATTTGAAGTGACATATTAATAAAAATATCAATTTATCTTATATATTTTTATTGAATTTTATAAAGTATAGATATTTAAATATGAAAATTTTATAAATAGAAAAAATTAATCAGCTAAAGCTGTTGTAAATTCAATTTCTTGAAGAAGAAAACATGATGATTTCTAAAGATAATATAGAAATATTTTAAGAAATCATAAATCATAACTTTATAAGAAATTTTTTTGTATTAAAATTAATTATATTTATATTTTTGAGATTATTTTCTATTAATGTATCTATTATAATGAATTTAATAACTTCATATTCAAAAAAAATTTAAAGTTTAAAAACTCAAATATTATTAGAAAATAATACATCAAATTAAAAAATATTAATTCAAAAGGATGTGCAAATTCAAAAGATATTACAATCATAATTACAAATATATATATATATATATATATATATATATATACATATATATATATTGAAATTTTAATTCTAAAATATTATATATAAATAAAAAGTATAAGAGATGATATGCATGTAAAATTTTCTTTACTTGAGATATATTTGGAAGAATATCAAAACTTATATATAATATGTAAAGTCTTCAAATACATAAAATTTCTTAATGTGCTTATAGTACTAAATTATATTAATTTCAAAAAATACATGAAAATTTAGATAGTTTAAGAAAGTTAAAGATGTTAAAGTTAATAGGATATACAAGTTCAAAAGAAGTGATATTAAGATTGATCAAGCTATCAAAGTCAAAAAATATTAGCTTTAAAAATATTAAAAAAATATAACAACAAATGATGCATTTGAAACATTAACATTAGTACACATAGAAAATTAGAAGTAGTACTAAGAAGCTATGATTACTTCACATGCCTTAAAGAACTTTATTTTAAAGATTGCATCAATTTGAAGATACTTGATATAGTATTTAATGGCATGAAAGACTTGTAAGCATTCCTATTTAATAAATGTGTAGATTTAGAGAAGATGCTTTTTAGATTGAAGAAAGTATTAAAGATAAAAAGATTGAATTTTGCAAATTGTATAAAGATGAAAAAATTAAAAACCAAGTTATTATTAATAAATTATGAAGATTTAAATTTAAAAAATATTTAATAAAAAAATTAATTGAATATAACTATCGCAACAGTAATTTGTTTTATAGGTGAAGAATTTGAGCATCACCAAGGCTCACAAGTAGTGTATAAGGATGTCTTAAAGAGGCTAGAAGGCCTTAATCTTATTCTTCTACCTATATCTAAGGTGATGCAATCTATATAGAATATGTGCATCTCTTTTTTTAT